ATAATATGTTCCAGCACAACTCAACATACACACAATAAGAGCCATACTTTTTCATTTATTATTGCTGGAAAACAAGTCCCTTCTGGACCTTCTCGTGGTGCTCCCTGGGTAACTCAGACCACGGAGGCACATCACACACACGCACGCACACACACACACACACACACACACACACACACACACACACACACACACACACACACACACACACACACACACACACACACACACACACACACATCTTTTAGCGTCTCTTTTAGCGTGAGAGTAGTGGAAAATGGAATGCACTTGGGGAACAGGTTGTGGAAGCAAATACTATTCATACTTTTAAAACTAGGTATGATAGGGAAATGGGACAGGAGTCATTGCTGTAAACAACCGATTGCTGGATAGGCGGGATCCAAGAGTCAATGCTCGATCCTGCAAGCACAAATAGGTGAGTACAAATAGGTGAGTACACACACACACACACACACACCTGTTGCAGGAACCTGTACACCTGTTGATTGACAGTTGAGAGGCGGGACCAAAGTGCCAGAGCTCAGCCCCCGGAAGCACAACTAGGTGAATACAACTAGGTGAGTACACAGGAATATATTGACAGCAAGGTGTGCTAAGATAACCTGCAGAGACTTGTGAGAGCTTGGTCCAACAGGCAGTTGCTAGGAGCGGTATTACATTCTGTCCACGAATATTTCTTATACTTACAGGACTGTTTATGAATGAAAAACGTTCGAACATGACGTTCCGGAACAAGTGCTTCACTGACGAATTTTGTTCGAACCACAACGCTGTAAATGCTTCACCCACATACTACAAATACAAATAATCGCCAACAGAACCTAAACACCTAACCTAACCTATGCCTATATATGCACAATTTGCTAATATATTATAATATTAATTTATATTTGAGCAAATTCCCGTTTTGAATGAACAGCATGTAAAAATTTATGAATGCGTCTGTGGGGTCGATCGCTGGATGGAATGGACTTGAGTCGAGGACGGGTTGAGTTTTTAATGGGGTTTTGCGGCTGGATTAAAGAGCATTTGGTCTTTGTTGATGAGGACGGGCTGCCATGTCTTGTAGGTAAACATCGTGAACTCTGCTGACCTTTGTTTTCGTGATCCAATAAAGTGTATCTTGAATGACTGCATCGAACGAGGTCAAGTGGATCACAAGTTAATACTGACATGCTAATAAGTCAATATTTGACTTATTAGGAGCCCTTTGTTTTCATTATAGGGTATACAAATCTGAAATGAAGAATAGTCGTTATAAAGAACCTTCTACTAGCATACATACATAAATACTAATTACAATTTCACTTCCTTGTCTGCGTGCTCCAGCGCGCATGTATGCGTATACGCATGCGCCACACAAGTGAATACTAACGGGTACGTGTCTGCATGCATGCCTGTGTGACCCCCCCCCCACCCAGTGACTGGGCAGGGGACCGACTGCTTGACGGTCACGTGTGGGTCCGCCTGTGTCTCGCACTCCTCGAAATTCTCGTAAATTTCCCATCATAAGCGCATCATGGCCGCGGCGTCCCATGCCAGAACACAACTATTATTTAACTTCTGAATATCACCATAAACATTACGACGCCCTATCACAAAACTAAAATTTTGGGGCATTAGATCCCCTTCTCCACTGTTTTCACATGAAGTGGTAAATACAACATCAGATAAAACGCACGCAAATGATTTGTAAAATGCGTCGGTCTTACAACTGGAGTCTGACACTGGGGCTGACACACGACGCAGCTGCCCATCGAAGCTTCATATAGTTAGGCTAATCAAGCTGAGCGTCAGCAGCATAGATAGCAAGCCTATACACCGAAGCTTACATGCACACGAGGCAAAGCCTGCACACTAGGCTTGCCTCATCTCGCGCCTGTCTCGCCGCCTTCGTACGCCGCTCAATGTCAAAGAATCGCAGGTTGGCGCCGCCGCCCGCCGCCAGACTCGCATCTTCCGCCTACATTTCCACACCACCTCACCTCCCAAAACTAGTCGCTGGTGCTTCCCGGGGATAACTTACCCCATGCTGGCGCTCTCGGCGCCTGCTCCAGTGAGCCCCGAGACTCAGGTGAGGGATCGAGCGGATATTTCGTAGCGAAAAGGCAACTGTGACTAGCGGAAGTGAATCCATGCTTGAGATTTCATTTGTTGGTGCTCTCTGGTGGTGGGGGTGTGGAGAGTGTAGACGCTGGCTGAGTACAGACACTTGCACCTTCATGGTAACGTTCCCACACACCCACGCTCCCCACAACCCTATCCACGGACACAAAATATTCAACACACGCAACATATAAAAGAGGAGAAAATCGTATGAGGAGAGGTTCATCCTTGATTTGTTTTGGCGTTGGGCTTAAGACCAATCAATGTCTCGAGTGTTAAGGCGGTGGCACCGGCTTACTGACCAACTAAACTCTCATTGAAGGAAGAAGGAAAGCCAGAAGAAGGAAACTCACTTTCTTCCCTTTTTCCCCCCCTCTCCTATAAGTGCCAATATATAGACCTGGAGTATAAGAAAGCGTTCAACATATGCATCATATAACCAGGAGAAACAACTGGACTAAGCCATGGTGAGGCGTGTTGGTGCTGGGAGCGTGTGAGAGTTCACCACTGTGGGATGGAGTGAGCTACACATATCATACACGTTATGTTAAGTCAGTGTTCCTGTGCCACTTCTCCGCGGTAACCTCTCTTCCCACTGAATAATATTCTCAATTTGTCGCCTATTTTTTGGGGAGAAAATTTAAATATATGTACACAATTTATGTAAATATATTTTTGCGTTCTTTTCAAATTTTAAATAGTTCGCGGATTGTTAATGGAAAGCTGATTTTCTGCAATTTTTGTTAACCAATTTTTAAACATTTATAAAATGAACATTTTTATATATAAATGACATAAAATTTATTTTAAATTAGCTTTATGGCGCTATAATTAATTTTGGATAATTTATAAAGAAATTACAAATATTTTCTTGAAATTTAGAAAGATTATAGCCTATTCATATATATTTTTTGCTGCAAATTTTCGGGCGTCCAACAGGCTTTGCAATATTTCAGCAAATATTGTAATATCTTAGCATTATTTCTATAAGTGTTCCCGTATCTTAGTAATCCTGTATTTCAATACGCATTGCAATATGTTAGTAATATTTCCTGGAGCCACCTGTCTTAAACCCGTCCATTCTTCTGTTTAGACAGTACTTATAGTAAATATGTGCATCATTGTACATATACTGACGTAATGGACAGCTAGAAAGTAGACTTTGGTACTACTGAATTTGGACACACCGGAAAAGGTTTTGTATTTATGCTGCTAATCTGAGGCCTAATATAGTACTAATATGCTTTATAAATGTGCTATACTAGGCTTATACTAAGCCTTACTAGGACTTTAAAAAGTGAATAGTACCAAATTCTACCATCTAATTGGCCAATACATCAATATATGTAAGATGGCGCACATAGTTACAAAAAGTATTATTTAAGCAGGAGGATGGGATGTACACACACACACACACACACACGTAGATATGATAGAGCCCAATAGGCTCATGAATATGTACACCAGTTGATTGACAAATGAGAGGCGGGACCAAAAAGCTAAAGCTCAACCCCCATACAAGCACAACTAGCTGAGTACACATATTGCTTGACTAGTTGTAAACATATCCTACAAACCTACACTTCGGGATATTTATATTTTGCACAAACGCGTTGTGTTACATTTCTTAAAGAGATAATCCTTGCCACTGGAGTAATTCCACAAGGAGTTGTGCAGTGATTAATCCTCCAATGGATTAATCACCTGTTCGCTGTCCTCCACTAGCTTCCTCTAGCCTATACAAATATGTCTGCTATTGGCACGAACCATATCAAAGCCTACGCAGAAAATGAAGGAGTGTCTAAAAAATATTTCTTAAACCAGAGATCATTTGGAAAGTCTCTGTTATAAGCTGGCTTAGGAAAACTTCTTAGTTGATGTTGATATTCCACATTTAAGACCTAGAGCAACTCACATGGAAAATCCTGAAAAACTTAAATTTTTAGTAACTTTTTTATTTGTTAGTAACTTAAATCTCCTTCGTAACTTGTTCTACAACCCCACCATAATGTGCACACAACACCATGGCATGCTCACCTAGCACCATAATGTGTCCAACCGTCTCAAGCGTTTGGGCACTATTCCTTTCCATACTTGTAATGACTTGGTGTTTTCTCCTGATAATGACCTTACCTTACCAGCACCATAAGAAACATTGTCATAATGCACGAAAGTGCGCCATTACCACCTTTAATATGGTGTAAAGCTTACTTATACATGTCACTGATTTGATGCTTTAATTATGTGGGTGCAAGTCCTTCGCCAGGTGTGGGCCCAAGCCAGCCCTCTACCAGGTGTGGGCCCAAGCCAGCCCTTTCCCAGGTGTGGGCCCAAGCCAGCCCTCTACCAGGTGTGGGCCCAAGCCAGACCTCTACCAGGTGTGGGCCCAAGCCAGCCCTCTCTCAGGTGTGGGCCCAAGCCAGACCTCTACCAGGTGTGGGCCCAAGCCAGACCTCTCCCAGGTGTGGGCCCAAGCCAGACCTCTCCCAGGTGTGGGCCCAAGCCAGACCTCTCCCAGGTGTGGGCCCAAGCCAGACCTCTACCAGGTGTGGGCCCAAGCCAGCCCTCTACCAGGTGTGGGCCCAAGCCAGCCCTCTACCAGGTGTGGGCCCAAGCCAGACCTCTCCCAGGTGTGGGCCCAAGCCAGCCCTCTACCAGGTGTGGGCCCAAGCAAAACTTTCACTCCTACCAGCGTTCCTTCAATTATCCGATACCAGACATGACTAAATATTTTCTTTATTCCGTTGCCACAACAAATTTCTACTAGGTTGTCAAAGGGAAATAATACAATGTGTAGTGCCAAGTTTGTTGTAAGTTAGTTGTGATTGAAGTTCACGAGGGGAGGGGGGGGGGAATAATAATAAGTTAATACGATGCAGTGTCAGTGTGGCGACCTCTGGCACCTTCCCTCCGCCGCCGCCTTGGCTCTTCTGTTGTCAGCTGATCAAGGTTAGTGGGATATCTCTTAGTCTTCTACATTAATTATTTACAGCTGTTTCGCACCTCTGGGTATTCTTACAGTCTCATCATTACTGTGATTCCATTGTGTGTTTGTACGTAACATGTGAGTATTATAATAATAATAATATTAGAAAAATTGGTTGATTTAGGCTACTGGATAACATTTAATAACCTAATCCTCACTTAATTAAAATTATGGTTATCCTAGTCTGTATAGTGTTGTTTATATACGCAGACTGACAGACACAGAATAAGGCAGGAAAACTGAAAGGGAATAATAACCTTGAAGTTATAAAATGAAGTTAGAAATGCTGGAATATGAACTGGAGTAGATGCCAGCGAGAATGTTCTCCAGGCTGTGTTTACTCTCTGGCCGCTCAGGCTTGGTAACCATCAAGTTAAAAGTAATAATATTCCCAGTTTGTTTTCTTATATTTCCGTGGTAATATTCTGAGACTGTCCACTACGTAATATAAATCGAAAAGAAGAAACTATGCTTTTAAGAATTTATTTAATAACAACGAGAAAAACTGATTGCAACCCTGAAAGCTGTTGGCAATGTATGGTAAATCAGCTGGCAACGGTTACGTCATTTTCTATACCGATCGCTGATTGGCTATAATCTTGCAACTCAGGATGTCGTCACTCTTTGTCAGTCGTTGATTGGATGGCCTCCTTTTTCGTTTCTGTGACGTCATCTTTATTTGAAAACGTAGGTGGAAAAGATGTCGTTTCCTGTGGTGGTAACTTTTCCTTCATTGTTTGTAGCAAGTGTTCAACAACGTTATCAAACTGGCAACGCGGTAATATTATGACGTGCTAAATAAATCTCATGTTCCTTTATCGATCTTTAGTGGTTGTAAATAAGAATATTTACTAATACAAATAATAAACATTATTAGTAGTATTACTATTATCAAATCCACCATGTTATTTGCATGTACTTGTAGCTTAATAAAAGGTCAGAAAACAATTTTGGGATTTAGATTTGAACATATAAAAAATCTATTATGAATAATTCGGCTCCAAGTGGTTGGGCACCATTCCTCCCCCCCCCTACCCCCAACCCCCCCGTCCCATCCCAAATTGTTATCCTGACCCCTTCCCAGCGCTATATTCGTCGTAGTGGCTTGGCGCTTTCTCCTGATAATTCCCTTCCCTCCCCCTCCCCCCCTCTCTTATTGAGAAGCAAAGGTGCAATAGGTACGCTGAGGGAGAACTCTATCAACATCAAAGGCCCCGAGACTTTTCAACACTCTCCCGCTACACATAAGGGTCAACCTCTCACAGTGTTCAAGAAACAACTCGACAAACACCTCCAAAGAATACATGATCAAACAGGTTGTGGTTCATACGTCAGGCTGCGAACAGCCGCGTCCAACAGGCAGACTGACTAGACCGGAGCATACCTGGAGAGGGTTCTGGGAGTTCTTCTACTGCCCGAGCCCGGCCTGAGGCCAGGCTCGACTTGTGATAACTTGGTCCAACAGGCTGTTGCTTGGAGCGGCCCGCAGGCCCACATATCCACTACAGCCTGGTTCACCGGTACTCCATGCAGGAACTTATCTAAGTGCCTCTTGAATACATCAACCTTTGTTCCAGCAATATTTCTAATGCTTGCTGGAAGGGTGTTGAACAGCTGTGGACCTCTGATGTTCAAACAATGTTCTCTGATTGTGCCTATGGCACCTCTACTCTTCACTGGCTCTATTCTGCATTTCCTTCCGTATCATTCGTACGGAAGATATACTAATATACCACAGTATGTTATTATTCTACTGTGCAAATGTGATACCTGGCCTTCAAGTATCTTCCATGTATATATATTATTAGATACCGTTCTCGTCTCCTTTTCAAAGAGTACATGCTGAAAGCTGTGAGACGGTCTCAATAATTTAAGTGTTATCGTTTCTAAGCGTACCGTATATGTTCTCTGTATTCCCTTTAATTCAGAGATCTTTCCTGCTCTGAAACGGAAAGTGAGCAATACTCAAGACTTAAGCACTAGTGATTTAAATAGTATTAGCATTGCTGTGGGATCTCTGGATTTGAACGTTCTCATAATCCATCCTATCATTGTCCTGGCCGCCGCTATATTTGCTCGGTTATGTTCGCTAAATGTCAGGTCGTCAGACATCATAATTCCCAGATCTTTTGCATATTGGTTTCCTTCTATGAGTAGGTCTGATTGTGTTCTGTACCCTGTGTTTCGTTTAAGTACCTCATTTCCATGATACCTAAGTACCAAGAACTTTATCACCGTTAAACATCATGTTATTTTCAGTTGCTCAATCGAAGATTTTATATCTGCCTGCAGTTTTTCATGTCTTCTACAGGTGAAATTTTCATGTTGATTTTTGTATCATCTGCAAAGGATGACACGAAGCTGTGATTAGTATTTTTTCTATATCCGATATAAGAATGAGAAATAGCAGCGGTGCCAGGACTGGGAATATTGAATTATTTATGTGTTTACACATACACGGAAAATGTTTAAGCATTTCCGTTATTTTTTTCCTCCTCCTGTACAGTGGTCTGCGTTCTCTTTCTAGAGTGGTCCTCTTGCTGCCCCTCCTCACAGGCACGTGCTTCAAGCACACCTTGTAAGCTTCAGCTGTCAGTTGAGCTATTCCCTGTGTGGGAGTTTTGTCGCTTAAGACTATTTCCCATTGAATGTTTGCAAGGTCTATATTTATTTTTTCTGAGTTAGTACTCTTATTGTTGAAATTGTATTGATTGAATATCCCTTCTCGCTTGTTCTTTCTCTTGGACCTACTACCATTATCTTGAGGTTATCTTGAGATGATTTCGGGGCTTTTTTAGTGTCCCCGCGGCCCGGTCTTCGACCAGGCCTCCACCCCCAGGAAGCAGCCCGTGACAGCTGACTAACTCCCAGGTACCTATTTACTGTTAGGTAACAGGGGCATTCAGGGTGAAAGAAACTTTGCCCATTTGTTTCAGCCTCGTGCGGGAATCGAACCCGCGCCACAGAATTACGAGTCATGCGCGCTATCCACCAGGCTACGAGGCCCCCCTCGTAGAACCCCTCGTAGAACTACGAGGCCCCCCTCGTAGAACCATAACTAATGTTACTTCGCACTTCAATGAGCTTATGGTCTGATTATGTAGTATCTGATATTGTAATGTCTCTGATTAGTTCATCATTGTTTGCGAATATCAGGTCTAGTGTGTTTTCGTTCCTAGTTGGTTCTGTAATCTGTTGATTGAGCGAGAATTTGTCACAGAATCTCAACAGTGTTCTGACCTGCGTTTGATTATTTCCAGGTTGGTTCCCGGCTATGATAATATTGTTTGTCATTCTCCACCTTAAACTGGGTAGACTGAAGTCTCCAAGGAAGATAATATCTGCTACTGGGTTTACTCGGTTATCAACGATATTCTCTATTTTGTGCATCTGCTCTGTGAATTCCTCACCCGTTGTGTCTAGCGGTTTATATATTAGAATTAGAATTAGATATATATATATATATATAACTCGTCTAAGTAAATTAGTACAACACTCATGATTGAGCATTAATAACAACCCAATAATGTTTATAAATCAGGTAACCCAACACAACAACACGTCACACTGACGGCCGACCTTACGCTAACAACCCGACTAACTACCTAACAAGGCCGGGGGGCCAATTCAGACATTTATGGTCAATTCTGCTTGTTTGTTTACACAGTTTAAGTGATGCTGGGAGGGTGAGGGGGGGGGGGAGCTGCTTGAGGGAGGGATAGAAGGGGATGGAGGTGGTGGGGGGGGGGGGGGGGGGGGGAGGGGAGTAGCAGACGGGGGTTGGTTGAGGTTGTTAGGGGAGACAGACGACATGGGATAAGATACAACTAAGATTTAACTCCCACTAACCACACCTACTCCATGTATACTCCATGTATAAGAACGTAGTCTCCATTACTCCTCATCCATGTATGGAGTTGACCTCCACTACCTCTAGAGGTAAACTCCAGAGGTAGTGTATAGTACACTGTATAGTTAGTCTACACTACCTCCTCCATGTATAGTCTACACTACCTCCTCCATGTATACTTAGTCTCCACTGCCTCTTCCTTTAACACACATCACTTGCGCCCAACCTTCGCACTGAAGAAATACTTCCGTATGTCTCTCTTGCTGACAGACTCCTCCGTGACAGGCTCCACCGTGACAGGCTCCTCCGTGACAGGCTCCTCCGTGACAGGCTCCTCCATGACAGGCGCCACCGTGACAGGCGCCACCGTGACAGGCGCCACCGTGACAGGCTCCTCCGTGACAGGCTCCTCCATGACAGGCGCCACCGTGACAGGCTCCACCGTGACAGGCTCCTCCGTGACAGGCTCCTCCATGACAGGCGCCACCGTGACAGGCGCCACCGTGACAGGCTCCACCGTGACAGGCTCCTCCGTGACAGGCTCCTCCATGACAGGCGCCACCGTGACAGGCGCCACCGTGACAGGCGCCACCGTGACAGGCTCCTCCGTGACAGGCGCCACCGTGACAGGCGCCACCGTGCGAGGCGCCACCGTGACAGGCGCCACCGTGACAGGCTCCACCGTGACAGGCGCCACCGTGACAGGCGCCACCGTGACAGATTCCTCCGTGACAGGCGCCACCGTGACAGGCGCCACCGTGACAGGCTCCACCGTGACAGGCTCCACGGTGACAGGCGCCACCGTGACAGGCGCCACCGTGACAGGCTCCACCGTGACAGGCGCCACCATGACAGGCGCCACCGTGACAGGCGCCACCGTGACAGGCTCCACCGTGACAGGCTCCACCGTGACAGGCGCCACCGTGACAGGCTCCACCGTGACAGGCGCCACCGTGACAGGCTCCACCGTGACAGGCTCCACCGTGACAGGCTCCACCGTGACAGGCGCCACCGTGACAGGCGCCACCGTGACAGGCTCCACCGTGACAGGCTCCACCGTGACAGGCTCCACCGTGACAGGCTCCACCGTGACAGGCGCCACCGTGACAGGCGCCACCGTGACAGGCGCCACCGTGACAGGCTCCACCGTGACAGGCTCCACCGTGACAGGCTCCACCGTGACAGGCGCCACCGTGACACCGTGACAGGGTCCTCCGTGACAGGCTCCACCGTGACAGGCGCCACCGTGACAGGCGCCACCGTGACAGGCTCCACCGTGACAGGCTCCACCGTGACAGGCGCCACCGTGACAGGCTCCACCGTGACAGGCGCCACCGTGACAGGCTCCACCGTGACAGGCTCCACCGTGACAGGGTCCTCCGTGACAGGCTCCACCGTGACAGGCGCCACCGTGACAGGCTCCACCGTGACAGGCGCCACCGTGACAGGCGCCACCGTGACAGGCGCCACCGTGACAGGCTCCACCGTGACAGGCGCCACCGTGACAGGGTCCTCCGTGACAGGCGACACCGTGACAGGGTCCTCCGTGACAGGCGCCACCGTGACAGGCGCCACCGTGACAGGCTCCACCGTGACAGGCTCCACCGTGACAGGCTCCACCGTGACAGGCGCCACCGTGACAGGCTCCACCGTGACAGGCTCCACCGTGACAGGCTCCACCGTGACAGGCGCCACCGTGACAGGCTCCACCGTGACAGGGTCCTCCGTGACAGGCGCCACCGTGACAGGCTCCACCGTGACAGGCTCCACCGTGACAGGCGCCACCGTGACAGGCTCCACCGTGACAGGCGCCACCGTGACATGGTCCTCCGTGACAGGCTCCACCGTGACAGGCTCCACCGTGACAGGTCAAGCTCAACTTACTTTGAAAAAAGATGATCGCTTCAATAGTGTTAATTATTGAAGCCTTTATCTCCATCGATAATTAATTATCGTCCATTTTTTCCATCTCAAATGTATTTTAACTTAACCGTAATAGGAAGGTTTCTTTAGTACAAGGAACGCCGTAATCTAAGGGTTGTAATTAGTCATCACTAGCAGTTAGTTCCTCTTGTATCTGGATCCTGCAGTCCCGGGTTCGATCCCGGGACTACAGGCGAGAAACAATGGGCAGAGTTTCTTTCACCCTATGCCCCTGTTACCTAGCAGTAAAATAGGTACCTGGGTGTTAGTCAGCTGTCACGGGCTGCTTTCTGGGGGTGGAGGCCTGGTCGAGGACCGGGCCGCTGGGACACTAAAGCCCCGAAATCATCTCAAGATAATCGTTATACAGCATCAAGGTTGATGCACCCCAAGAGTGATTAGTGGAGTGCGAACTCCTCTTCAGTCAGGGTCCTCTTGCCCTCCTTAACGGATCTCCAACTTTGCTGTCAATGGCCACGAGTCAACAGATATTTACATCTCCACCTACGGACCATTTTCATCTTTCTTTGATCATCATGGCGGCTTAACTTTGTATTAAGTAAACAGTTTACGAGCTTGCAAACTTGACAACGCAAGGTTATTGTTGTGATAGACAACCTCGTAGCGCTTCCCAGCTCATAAACTGTTGAACCAATGTAAACTGTAGCGCTTCCCAGCTCATAAACTGTTGAACCAATGTAAACTGTAGCGCTTCCCAGCTCATAAACTGTTGAACCAATGTAAACTGTAGCGCTTCCCAGCTCATAAACTGTTGAACCAATGTAAACTGTAGCGCTTCCCAGCTCATAAACTGTTGAACCAATGTCAACTGTAGCGCTTCCCAGCTCATAAACTGTTGAACCAATGTAAACTGTAGCGTTTCCCAGCTCATAAACTGTTGACCCAATGTCAACTGTAGCGCTTCCCAGCTCATAAACTGTTGAACCAATGTAAACTGTAGCGCTTCCCAGCTCATAAACTGTTGAACCAATGTAAACTGTAGCGCTTCCCAGCTCATAAACTGTTGAACCAATGTAAACTGTAGCGCTTCCCAGCTCATAAACTGTTGAACCAATGTGAACTGTAGCGCTTCCCAGCTCATAAACTGTTGAACCAATGTGAACTGTAGCGCTTCCCAGCTCATAAACTGTTGAACCAATGTAAACTGTAGCGCTTCCCAGCTCATAAACTGTTGAACCAATGTAAACTGTAGCGCTTCCCAGCTCATAAACTGTTGAACCAATGTAAACTGTAGCGCTTCCCAGCTCATAAACTGTTGAACCAATGTAAACTGTAGCGCTTCCCAGCTCATAAACTGTTGAACCAATGTAAACTGTGAGGCAGGAGGGAGTGGAGACGAACACGCTCCCGGAGTGGTCACTGTGGCGCTTCCTGAATCCCCGTCCTGATATTTTATGTTGATCTGATTTCCATCTTCCGTAGTGATTACGTGCAATTTAGTTCCAGTTAATTCTAGTACATTTGTGGAAGCCAATTCCAGCTGACTTCCAGTTTGTCTGAAAAGCCATTTTATTTCATTCCTAAGTCCTCTATCAGTCCCAGTCACTTTCCTTCTGTGCTGGAAAGGTCACATGCTCGAAAAGATACAGTTACGTCACAAAGGATTGTGATGTTGGGTGCCTTGACTTTAGCAAGGCTTTTGATGCAGTGTCACATGAAAGATCGATTAAAAAGAGGCTCATGGTATTGGGGGTGCTATATTAAGTTGGATTAGGGCATGGCTATACCGAAGGAAACAAAGAGTTAGTATCAATGGGGTTAATTCAGAGTAGGAAAATGTTGTAAGTGGAGTGCCTCAAGGCTCTGTCCTGGGACCTCTGTTATTCATAATATATATAAATGATTTAGATTCAGGTTTGAGCAGCAATATTTCCAAATTTGCCGATGATACGAAAAATCGGGAGGGAAATAAGCACGGAAAGCGACTCTCTATCACTTCAAGACGATCTAAATAGGGGTTTTAAATGGTCAAAAGATTGTTGTTTTAGGTTAAGCTACTTGGAAGAAAAGTCTTAAGTAGCAGGGGCTATAGCGAGCCCGTAGTGGACTTACCTGGTACAGGAGCGGGGCAAGTAGCACGGGCTATGATGAGCCCGTAGTGGACTTACCTGGTCCAGGAGCGGGGCATGTAGCACGGGCTATGGTGAGCCCGTAGTGGACTTACCTGGTACAGGAGCGGGGCAAGTAGCACGGGCTATGGTGAGCCCGTAGTGGACTTACCTGGTACAGGAGCGGGGCAAGTAGCACGGGCTATGGTGAGCCCGTAGTGGACTTACCTGGTCCAGGAGCGGGGCAAGTAGCACGGGCTATGGTGAGCCCGTAGTGGACTTACCTGGTACAGGAGCGGGGCAAGTAGCACGGGCTATGGTGAGCCCGTAGTGGACTTACCTGGTACAGGAGCGGGGCAAGTAGCACGGGCTATGGTGAGCCCGTAGTGGACTTACCTGGTACAGGAGCGGGGCAAGTAGCACGGGCTATGGTGAGCCCTTAGTGGACTTACCTGGTACAGGAGCGCGGCAAGTAGCACGGGCTATGGTGAGCCCATAATGAACTTGCCTGACACAGGAGCGCTGCAAGTAACACGGGCTATGGTGAGGCCGTAGTGGACTTACCTGGTACAGGAGCGGGGCAAGTAGCACGGGCTATGGTGAGCCCGTAGTGGACTTACCTGGTACAGGAGCGGGGCAAGTAGCACGGGCTATGGTGATCCCGTAGTGGACTTACCTGGTACAGGAGCAGGGCAAGTAGCACGGGCTATGGTGATCCCGTAGTGGACTTACCTGGTACAGGAGCGGGGCAAGTAGCACGGGCTATGGTGAGCCCGTAGTGGACTTACCTGGTACAGGAGCAGGGCTGTGGTTAAGCGAGATTGATGAAGATGAGTAAGTAAGGCAAGAGACAGGTGAGGAAGAGGAAGGTAAGAACATAGGGAAAGGTAAGGATGGGATGGGTCTAATAATGGGGGTGTAAGATGGGTGTAATAATGGGTATAAGAATGGAAACGTAAGAATAAGACGAAAAATACAAATAAAAGGAAAGATATAAAGGATGGGGAAGACTTATGTTAGATCACGTTTGTTAGAAAAGTTAGAACACTTGAGTATATATTGTGAAAGGGAAGAGTCAACACCAACAAAGCCAGGACTCAGGGTCATGTTGGGAAGGTTTTGTATCAGAGGCAGGCCGACGGCGGCTGTGTAGAGGCAGGAAAGATTATTTTAGAGGAAGACCAATCAATAGGATGATTAGAATCTGACAGAAGAGAGCATTGTTTGTGTCTGCAGACTTAACACTTCTCTTGTGTTCCTTAAGTCTGTCATTAAGCCTCCGTCCTGAACCTCCGCCCCGCACTCTCTCTCCTCACAAGACGGTGACCAATATATATATATATATATATATATATATATATATATATATATATATATATATATATATATATATATATATGTGTGACGATAATCTCTTTCAAGAGAGATTGAGCCTGCTCTTCCCTACAAAGTACGTCAATATACAAGATAATATAGAAGATACGTCCAGCAAGTATCGCCAAACGTTTTGCCCAGAGAGCAAATTGTACCCAGCACACAGTGACACCTGCTACCTACCACCGCCGTAACCAGCTAACTGCTCATCCTTTGCCTGCCTGTCGCTGATTGGCTGGTGTCCCGTCGCACCTGCCCTCCGCCGCCACCACAAGTCGACGTCTGCGCTGCAGTGCGCTAATATCGTCAGAATATCTCAGTGCTCCAAGCAGTTGACATCTCTCGCTGGTAGACTAAGCCTTGGCTTTCGTGTACTAAGGGAGGTGGCAGCTTGAAGCCAATATTCCAGCACCACTAATATTTTATTTTGCTATCACTGTAACTCACTTGTCTTAACGTAACTTTTCATTTGCCAGTGATTATTCATATTATTTTGTTTGTTGACTTGTCTTTCATATTTTATGTGCTTAACTTTATTCATGTCTTGTTTTTCTAAAGTAATTAAAATTTCATTGCTAATTTACTTGTGTTTTGTGTGTCTTCCCATTACGTTACCACAGACGAAAGCTCCAGCTTTTCTCTTTTTTTTCTATTATGTGACGAGGCCCTGCCCCTAGCTTTTGAAACAGCCGAACACCAACGCTTTACCGTCACAATATATATATATATATATATATATATATATATATATATATATATATATATATATATATATATATATATATATATATATATATATATATATATATATATATATATATATATTTTACGATGTTATCTGTTGTGTGTTTTATCGCAGTTTATCGACGGTTTAAGTTTTTTGTTTTCTCTCGTTTCTTAATATTTAATTGTTTATTTGCTCCTTTATTTGTCAGTTTGTCCCTGTCTATCAGCCCTGTGACGTCACTGAAGGTGGGGACGTCACCCAAGGTGTTCCAACTAGTGACGTCATTCAAGAGAGTGACGTTACTTAAGGTAGTGACGTCACTTAAGGCAGTGACGTCTTTCAAAATAGTGACGTCACTTTAGGTAGTGACGTCATCCAAGGTTGTGACGTCATCTACGACATTAACAAGTCTGAGGGAAGAACCGTCATCCAGTCTGGTGATGTCAACTAAAGCAGTGACGTCATCGGGAAAGTGACGACTGCCTATGTAAAGATGTCCTCGACTGTCGGCACGCATGCCAAGGGCGCCTCCAGGGGGCGCTGCAGCAGGGGGGGGTAGCGAGGGGGGGGGGAAGGGGGGCATGGGTGTGGTGAGGGGGGGAGGTGATTGGGGAGGGGGGAGGTGGTTGGGGAGGGGTGTGTGGGGTAAAGATGTGTGGTGGGGGGGAAGGGGGGGAGAATGGGTGACGAATAAGGAAGGGGGTTTGGGGGAATGTGGGGTGGGAAGGTATGGAGAGGGGGGAGGGGTGTGGAGGTGGGGGAGAGGGGTGAGGGGAGTGGTGGAGGGAGTCCGTGGGGGAGAAGGGGGAAGAGATGCTGGGAGGAAGAGAT